AATATTGAAGAATTATCTCTTTAAATTAATTTAACTTCTAATATTGAAGAATTATCTCTTTAAATTAATTTAACTTCTAATATTGAAGAATTATCTCTTTAAATTAATTTAACTTCTAATATTAAAGAATTATCTCTTTAAATTAATTTAACTTCTAGTATTGAAGAATTGTATTTTAAATTAATTTAACTTCTAGTATTACAGAATTATCTCTTTAAATTAATTTAACTTCAAATATTGAAGAATTATCTCTTTAAATTAATTTAACTTCAAATATTGAAGAATTATCTCTTTAAATTAATTTAACTTCTAATATTGAAGAATTATCTCTTTAAATTAATTTAACTTCAAATATTGAAGAATTATCTCTTTCAATTAATTTAACTTCAAGTATTGAAGAATTATCTCTTTAAATAAATTTAACTTCTAATATTGAAGAATTATCTCACTGGCGTAAACACCTGAATCTGGAGAATGATGAGAGTGCCCTGTATTCCGGGTTGAACCATCCTGGTAATCAAATGTTAGAAATATATATTACATTGTTACAGGTAAAAACAAATTATAAATATGTAAATATGTTACACTTTGTTACAAATAGGTAACAAAACATTAGATACACATATTACTCTCTTAAAAAATATGAGAACATGTTTCCAATGAATATCACTTTGTTACAAATAGGTCACACAATGTTAGAAATACATATCACTATGTTAGTAATTCCCCTGAATTCAAAATTGAAGGTGGAGGGGGCTAAGGGATAAGGGATGGTGGGGCGGGGATGGATCCAATATTTTACCTGTTCTGATCTGGAAATATCGTCTCCTGCTCTACTACTCTCCAGAAATAACGGGGGCTTGAAATCTCCACTAATCAAAAATATTACAGATAGGAGTCAAATCTAGAAATATAAAACTTCAAACAAAACATAGCTATTGAACTTTTTTCTATTTACAACTCAACTGAAAAAATGTAAGTTCAAATTTAGAAAAACACTACTTTTTTCGTCAATTTAGAATTATCTTTAGCTTTGCCGATTTCATGATTAGAGACCCCTTTTTACGATTCCAGCATTTTCTATATGAAGTTAATTAAACCCCATTGTTTTACATATAATTAACAATTAGTTTAGTACAAATATTAAATATAATTTTAGAGATTTAAGTTTAAAACCTATGGAAAACTTGCTTAGTTCAAATTAAAAAGAGGTCTGGATTAGTTGGTTTGGTTGCAGAAATGTGTCAGATAAAGACGACTTCCATTTAATGGTCTGGTAAGGGATGTTTTCTATTTGTTGAGTTTGGTTTGTATTCACGTGACCTCAATTTAAAGAGTGCTATGTGCAAATCACAACGGTACTATTTAACTCTTTGCATGATAAAGTATAAAAACGATATCCTTATTTTTCTAGCTGGAAGTGGATTAACTTCAATTGTGATTTTTCTGTAAAAGTGATTTGCCCATTTATGCTTCAGCCTGAATGAAACTATAATAATTTAACGCTTTTCATTTTTCACTTAAAATTTTCCTCATCATTGTTACTTGAACAGAAGTTTAAACGGTATCGTTGCTAATCGGACAATCCACTCTTTATATAAAGGTTCACTCGAAACTAGGTCTGTAGTAAAATCAAGTTTGATTTTTTGAAGAAAAAAATGAAAGAAGAATTAAATCTGTATTTTCCTGATTAGTGATGATTTAAAATGTTCCGTAAAGGCGTGGTTCCTATTTTCTCCCTCAGGGAAGGCGTGGCTACCCTCCTCATGCTCTGAGGAGGCGTGTCCGGTTTGGTTTGGAGAAGGGGCATGGCCAGGAGAAGGAGGTTGGAATCCATGGTGAGATGAACCCCATTCTTCATAACTTCTAAAAATTATTAAAATATCACTGCAAACTATAGTTATAGAGAGAAGGAGAAGGTCACTGCTACGACTTTGTGACCTCGTAAATTCTCAATTTTTGTTTCTATGAGAAAAATTCCGTTAAACATGTCTGATTTCAAGATGACGTGCATTTTACTTTTGACGTAAATAGTGAATTATATGAAGATACAGGTGTCCCAGTAAACATGGGAATTCAGTGACGAATTCGATATCGTCTTTTCAAATAGTTCTTTGATTTAGTATAGTGATACCCACTGAGAAAGCTGTAATCCGATAGATTTCCGTCTATTGTTCACAATTTCTTTGTTTAGTTTTGACTGTATACGATCGTACTTAGTAAAACAAGGAAACTGCAGTATACAAACAGAGTAAACTTGTCCGTCATCACTGTTCATCTTGCAAAGACATTATAGACACATTTTTACAGCCAGTCACCGTTTTCATAAAATAATAATATTATGGCTTTTGAAATCAGGTATTACAATGCTAATTCATAACAAAGACGATATCGAATTCTAACTGAATTCCCATGTTTATTGGAACATCCTGTATAACTCCAATACAATTTTAAAATAGTTTCAAATTGTGAAAAAAAAATTGAGTTTAAGGCAAAACAAGTTAAAGTAATTGTAAAAATAACTTTATTTTCTGAAAAAAATATGGCAAACATCCTAACAAGAATTAAAAACTGAGGAATTGTCCAACTCCAAATATGTAAATGTTTGCAAACCATTTTGTTCTATGGATATGTACTTAAAACCACAAAATATTTAATGCAATTTTTTTTTTATCAGTCACATCATTTCTCTAGAATTTTTCATTTTTCTAGAATGAAAGATCTTTGTATCAGTTTTTTTTTAACTCGTCTATACTGTCTGTATAGTTGAGATGAACTGTAAGTTCTATATCTTCCTATGATTTATTTTGTCTATAAATCCACAGTTTGGTTTTGGATGCATTCACGTATTTTACAGTAGGGCCCCAGGGAACATTTATACGAGGGCCCTCGGGCATATAAATATAGGTAGTAAAACCTGGGCACAACTTTACCAGGGATAAAAACCAAATTTCTAACTGAGATTAAATCTCTAAATTTTTTGATTAAAAATGTTAGGTTTTCCTTCTCAAAGAACAGTGGGGGGGGGGAGGTGGTCACGCAAATAGTTTAAACAGTAGGTTGATCATAAGCTTATCAAGTTAAATGGGTAAACTGCAACCCATTTAAAATCATGAATAGTCGACTTCCTACCACAATTTTATGAGTACCACTGTAATTATTGTTGTACAGATGGGAGGGTAGGTAAGGATGTTGAGCCTGCAATTTATGTACCTGTTGTACAGATGTGAGGGTATGTTTAAGAATGTTAAGCCTGTATTTATGTATCTGTTGTACAGATGGGAGGGTAGGAAAGGATGTTGAGCCTGTATTTATTACCTGTTGTACAGATGGGAGGGTAGGTAAGGATGTTGAGCCTGTATTTATTACCTGTTGTACAGATGGGAGGGTAGGTAAGGATGTTGAGCCTGTATTTATTACCTGTTGTACAGATGGGAGGGTAGGTAAGGATGTTGAGTCTGTATTTATGTACCTGTTGTGCAGATGGGAGGGTAGGTATAGGTAAGGATGTTAAGCCTGTATTTATGTACCTGTTGTACAGATGGGAGGGAAGGTAAAAATGTTAACCTTGTATTTATGTACCTGTTGTACAGATGGGTGGGAAGGTAAGGATGATGAGCCCACTGTTGATCCATACCGTACATACTATAACTAAACAAACAAATCACATTTTAAAAGAAACTAAATTTTTCCCATTTTCCTATCGACTATAAAAAGCTTTTTCGACCTACCTTCTCCTATGATTTTACCCTTAAAGTAGAGTAGGGGAGTGTGATGCATGAAAATAGTCCTACTATTCTTGAAAATTTTAGACCGCTAATTTTAATAGCTTGGGTTCTCGAGGGAGGATTTGAAATAACATAAAAAATTACGTCGAAAAGATGTAAAAAAATCTTTTATTTTTAGTAAAAATATTAATAGGTCACCCACGTGTTTTTACTCTGTTTTCAATGGCCTTTAAATATTTAAGTCTACAGCACAAATAATGAAAAATGCAAAAAATAAACGTTTAGTAAAATTTTTCTCAATTATGAAGTACGAAAAGTGAAGAAGTTTTAGCTAGAGCGCATATATCCCAGACTTTTATTCCACTTAAAATCGTATTCAATGTTTCAAGATGTATGCTGGCGCTCAATTAAAACCGAGTTTTGGCGGATTTGAGACGCGGCTTAGATTTATTAAATTCGGACACTGGCCGCAGTTGAGAACTGTCATTAAAAATGATCGATTTCGAAATGGAAAAGAAGAGATAATTTATTATGTTTCATCAGACAAAGGTTTAAAGGCTACCATTGTGAATCTGATATGGCAGTCTATAAATGGATAGTCACTTAAAGTTTTCTTCACAAGTTTAAAGAGCAATTGATATTTATGAATGGACAGTTTGAAGTAGTTCATGTCAAATTAATTGCGGTACCAGTGCAAAAATATGTTGTTTGTAAGAAAAAAATTGGTTTCTTTTTGACAAAAAATATTACAGCTGCAGCTCTATAGCGCAAACCTGGTTTATTTTGCATCATTTTGCATTTTGCAAAATAAGTGCAAACCCGTAAACTTCTTGATTTTATCTTAAGGGAAGGGTAAACCTTTTTCAACAAGGTTGGAAGGATATTACCTAGGATGAATATCGTAAGGTTGTTGTGAGGCTGCTTGCTGGTAAGCTAGGTAGGAGGCGGGATATCCTGCCCCGCCCCCAACCCCTGCTACACCTCCAACTCCAGGAATGCCCCCAACCCCAGCCACGCCTTGTAGACGTCTGGGAGAGTGTCCGGGAAACATCTATTAAATATATATGAAATATTACTAACGTAACTTATCTTTTTGTGAATTAAAAATAAAGTTATAGAATTTCTATTTGTATTTAACGTTCGTCAATATATAGATTTAAAGGCAAAATGCAGAAAAACATTTTATTATACATATTACAAGGAGAGGATGGTAGTAGTTTTACTTAGTATACAAATACAAAAAGAATAAAACAATTTAATAAGTTAAGAACTTTTCCAATTTTCTCATATTCCCACCTTTTTCAAAACTTTCCTCTTACTCTTCCCTCGACCATCTAATCTTTTTCTTTCCCCGGCCCTTCCCCCTAATTTTTCATATTCCCCTCTTTATTACAAATATCATTCAATTTAAGATCTTTAACCTTTCAACAGAGACCCGTAGGTTGTCGTAGGAGACCTTCAGGATTTCATTTCTTATTATAAAATGTGTTACAAGAAATCATGTTTGTCTCCTTGAAAAAAGGGGTTTTCTATGAAAATAGGGATAAGGGGGTAATACTAAATGGAATTTTAGGGTCTCTAATATAGTAGAGGGAGGGATAGTACAATAAAAAATTACAGAATTCAAACAAAAAGACTGTTTTAAAGTTAAAAAGAAATTTAAAATCTGTATAATTTTGTAAATTAAAATATATTGCACTTCAAGGGTTTAGTTGTTTTATTGTTATTATTATATATGTTAATACAATGAATGATTTACACACCTCTAATCACAAATATGAATTTATGAAGAATTTTATAAGAAAAAAACAAAATTGTATTTGAAACAAAATTATGCATATACACTAACCTTTTTATTTTATTTATTCTGTTTTTAATTTTGAATCTTCATATTGTTCACAGTATTTAACCCTCCTTTACTTCCTTAGCACTGCACCCACTTGTAAATCTATGATTTATTGCCTATTACAAATAAAAACCTAGAACGTTTAATCGGTTTTTATAATTTAAAAAATGTTTGTTGTCTGTTCACTAAAATCAGACCAATCGGGCTCAATTTGCACTTTAGACTAAATCAGCCTGACAGGGCCTACCCTCGCTACCATGGTTACATCGCCTTAGCTGTATCCAAGCCGCTCTGCCTGATTTTCCTGAATTCCTATTGGTCGGGAAAATATCTTACTGGACTTCTATTGGCTGAAGAACAGAAATTAACCTGATTGTCCGCCAAAATCCACGAATCAGAAGGCTCGATATTTTTCTCAGAAAATCTAACTTTTTTCTTGCACAAAACACTTCTTTTTTCTAAACAATACATTTTCCAAATTTGTACATATGGCTTAACTGTGGGTCTATTAATATAATAGTTTAATAATAATAATAATAAGGAACTTCTTCATAAATACTTGATATATTACGTGTGTAATTGTCGGAGATAAACAACATGACACCAACTATAAAATAAAAGAGATCTGCGAACCATTATCGTTATCTTTATATATTTCCAGATCAAATAATCTTGTTTAAACACTCCACTCTAAACGCTGCATGATCCAAGCCGGTACAACATGTACTTTATAATCTTTACATCATACTGTCCAGTGGATCTGGACTACCCAATGTAATGTCGACCCAGGGTGTTTTATGCAACACACGTAGCCTGGCAAGATCTCAGTGTTAAATGTCAAAAGTTTACAAAAAAAAACAATTAGAAAATTTGAGTTTGTGACAAAGACTCAATTCCTTTATTATAAATTTACAATATAAATAAGTAATTATATAAGTAATATATTTCGTTTTAGTTTTCTCCTTATGCTAATTTAAAAAATGCATATTTGGAGGAAAAATCTATGTTACATTTCATAGCAGATATTTGAATCCATACCAATTTTTCATTTATGTTCTTTGGAAGATTTTTTCCTGAAATGTGAAGGAGACTTTTACTTTAGATTCCTTTAAAATTTTATGAAAAGTTCGCTCTAATTTTTACAAACAATAAAACAGTTTGAACATATGTATGTTTGCAAAAATCTTCTCTTCTACAAATCAAGGACAAAGTTCGGCGACCATGTGAATTGTATAACTGTGCAGATTACCAATTTATGCTAAATTACTAATATGACTTTGTGACATAATAGCTTCTTTAGTTTTGATTTTATACAAAAGTATAAAACATGTTTGTTCTTATCAATATCTTTTTACAAGATGAATTATGAATTATGATTTGGAAACTATTTAACGTAAAATGTACTTCTATTTAACGTAAGATCGCCAAGCTTTGTAAATTAGCTAAGAATTCAATTACTAAAAGTATAAAACAATTAAAAAGGATAAACGCAGCTGCTTTAAAATAGATTAAACGTTTTTACTCAATCTTAAATCAATGTTTTGTATATTTTAATATTGTTTTAATATTTTACAGAAATGTTGAACTAACACAAAATGTGGTAAATAACGCCAATTTGAAATGAATTCTTCCTTTTAAATAGCTATTGAGAACAACACAAGTTTTGAGTTTCTACCGTGCAACCAAATAAAGGAATTGAGTCTTTGCCACAAACTCAAATTTTCTAATCCCTTTATCTTTTTAACCTTATAGTATAAACCTTTGACTCCATTCCTTTGTTAATCTAATCATTGAGGTTAAAGTCTAAACTGGAGAAGCTGAGATTTTAAAACAATCGCACCAATCATCTTGCGAAAATTTGACCTTTTATCATACGTTGGAGAGAAGGGTTATTCCTAATTCTAAAAGATATGATATTTTCCAAATGATATAAAACGACTTTTTGGCTGAAAAAGTTGCATAAATCGTGTTTTTTTCAGAAACAGTTAGTTTATCAATTGAGAGGTTACTCATTTTTTTAACAGATTTTTTTTAGTAATGAAAAGTGAAAAGTTCTAATTCCTACAGAAATACAGATGTCAGAATAATCAAACTATATTTTTTTACAGAATAAGCAATTTATTTCTTATAATAGAAAAAGGTGTTAAAAGTTTTTTTTTCTTTCAGAATCTAATTCGTAACTTTAAGAGTGGGAAAAGAAAAAATAATTTGGATTACGAAAACATATTTTGAAGTTTAAAGTTTTGAAAAGTGCAAAAATTCAGACATGATTTTCAGTTTTGCTGCACATGCTGCAAACTAGGCAGTAATGCCAGGGTTGTTTAGTGAGGACCAAAAGGAAGAGGGGGGAAGGACAAGGAAGAGGGGGGAAGGACAAGGAAGAGGGGGGAAGGACAAGGAAGAGGGGGGAAGGACAAGGAAGAGGGGGGAAGGACAAGGAAGAGGGGGGAAGGACAAGGAAGAGGGGGGAAGGACAAGGAAGAGGGGGGAAGGACAAGGAAGAGGGGGAAGGACAAGGAAGAGGGGGGAAGGGCGAAAACAACAAAGTTCGGCAAAAAATCTCAGACCACAATTTAGAATTATATTAAAAACAGGCCCATTATAATTTGCAGAACTTCTCTTTAAAATTGACCCCCCGCCCTTCCACTTTGAAATATTTTTAGTCTATTTTTGAGTACTTTACGATAGCGTGCATCTCATGCATTTCGTAAGCCATAAAAATAAGCCAAAAATTCGTGATTTGCAAGAGGTTGCTAAAATACAGTTTTATTTACGGGAGATTGCAAAATCCTTTGCTATTTTCTCGTTTCTCTCAAGAAAATGGAAATTTGAGTTGAAGTTAACCCAATCATTTAAAAGGCCCTTAAAAAAAATGGCATTGCACTTTTCAATAATCATCCATTTAAAGAGGGTCATTTCCAAAACAAAACGGTATCCTTGAAACTTTTATCAAAAATATGAAAGATATGGTAATTTTTAAACTGAACATTTTTACTAAATTGTTCAGAAATTCGCAAGAAATTTTTTAAGAGAAATTTCATATAAAAATAATCAATTTTCAAAGAGAAAAACGTAGATAGCTCATTAATGTTTTCAAGAGTACCGTTGTGAATCGGACATTTTGTTCTATACATGGCTAGTCTCTTGAAATAAAGCCTGCGCTCATCTGCAGTCCTATTAAAATCCAAATGTTTCACAACAAAATCAATTTTTTTGTAAAATCCAAAATGTTGATAATGGGAAATGTGTGCAACACCAGTTTAATTGATGGTGATAAAAATAATCGCAAAAATAAGAAAATGATTTATTTTTTAAATTTTAATTATTCATATGATCAATAAATTAAAAAGTTAAAGCATTAAAATGTGTCCAATCGCCCCCCCCCCACTCGGAAATGCCTTGTTCTTAATCTAAAATTGACACATTTTTAGACAAATTCCATTGTCAATACTTATCAGTATACTAGTGACGACATCTTAAGTTTGTCGGCTCTATTACGGTCACTTACTCGCGCATTAACACGTCTCGGCATTGCGCTCTGTTGAGAGATTTACAATATGGCGGTCCGTGTATGTGTGTGTGTGTGAATATGTGAGTATTTATTACAGTGCTCCTTCATTCCTCGCACACATTCACGATCTCATTTATAAATATAAATAAATTTCATAATTAAAATTCCAATCAACTAATCGTTATTTTTCTTATTTACAAATGAACGTAATCAAGTGGAATTTGACATAAATATTTTCGTGAGATATCCACTTCGGTCCCCCTATACCATCTCCTCTGCCCCTCCTTAAAAGAAATATTGACCCCTCCCCCTAATATCGGCGTGTTTAGATAATGCGTGAGACCATGAAATTAATTAATTGTCCCAGGATTAAAAGATATTTCTCATGAGGCTCAGACAACTGGACTAAAATAAATCTTCTAAATCAACCTGGAAAAAGCAAACCCAGTTATACATATATCTTGAGTATAAAGAAATTGCGTATGCAGTTTATGAAGCAAACTAGGAGCTCTCTCTAGCTTTTTAAGATAAAAGGAAAAGGCGATATTCTGTAGTAATGAATAGGATGGTATATAGGATGAATAGGATGCATGTAGTATGGTATGGGATGAATAGGATGCATGTAGGATGGTATATAGGAGAATAGGATGCATGTAGGATGGTATTATAGGATGAGTTGACAGAGTAGGATGCATGTAAGATGGTATTTAGGATCGATGAATAAGATGCATGAAGGGGATATTTGAAATGAGTGAGATACATGGAGGGTGTATATGAAATGAGTAGGATGCATGTAAGATGGTATATAGGATAAATAGGATGCATGTAAGATGGTATATAGGTTGAATAGGATGCATGTAGGATGGTATATAGGATGAATAGGATGCATGTAAGATGGTATATAGGATAAATAGGATGCATGTAAGATGGTATATAGGTTGAGATGCATGTAGGATGGTATATAGGATGAATAGGATGCATGTAAGATGGTATATAGGATCGATGATAGTAGGATGCATGAAGGGGGATATTTGAAATGAGTGAGATACATTTAGGGGGTTATATGAAATGAGTAGGATGAGTAGGATGCATGAAGGGGTTATATAGGATGAGTAGGATGCATGTAGGATGGTATATAGGATGAGTAAGATTCACGAAGTGGGTTTTATAGGATGAGTAGGATGCATAAAAGGGGTTATATAGGATGAGTAGGATGCATGAAGTGGGTTATATAGGATGAGTAGGATGCATTAAAGGGGTTATATAGGATGAGTAGGATGCATGAAGGGGGTTATATAGGATGAGCAGGATGCATAAAGGGGGTTATATAGGATAAGTAGGATGCATGAAGGGGTTATATAAAGGATGAGTAGGGTGCATCATGGGAGTTATATAGGATGAGAAGGATGCATGAAGGGGGTT